TTCAAGGCCAAGGTCATGTTTTGGTACACTGAGTGTATATTGTGTGCACATAAAAATATTGTTTCTTTCTATATTTTGAACAGTTTAACTTTTAAACACTTGGTTTAAATACACAACGGAATTAGATTAGATTAGATTAGATTAGATTAGATTAGATTAGATTAGATTAGATTAGAATTGCTTTCATTCATCGCTGCCGTCTTACTGACCTTATCCACTCATTTCCTGACTATAACAATCATGGTACAGAAATGCAGCCACATGGACATGCTATGCAAGTGCTGCTGAGACTTGATGGCCCTCTTGCGTCGTGTGATGCCTTTTTTACCCCACTAGATGGCAACATTGCACCTGATACGTGTGCTTTTCATAGGTCTTGACCTGAAATGAAACGAGACTGGGGATTGCTAGAGATATGTAGCCTAAAGGACTGAAAAATGTATAGCACTCATTTTTCATCACAGCAGTTTATTAAATTTCTAGTCAATATTTGCTGACGCTATAAAAGCACTTTAGGAACAACAATTATACTTGTTTTTTCCTTTCATGTTTTATGCTGATATTAAAATGGATCGAGTCTGCTGGTGGCTTGACACGTTTTAAAAGGCAAACACCTATATTTGTCCACTTTATGTCGACTGGAGAGCATATTGTAAGACATACGCTCCGCTCTCATAAGCATATGCCCTGATTTTACAACTAGTGATTTTTACGAGTCTTCCGTTCAATCAGGCCATTATTATCATCAGCCCAACCTTTTTGATTTACAGGAACATCTGGCTGTACAAGAGACGGACTGCAGCGCCTACAACTCCTTTCTCATCAGTTACTTCAAAACGTCTAAATCACGCAGGGAATTTTAATAGCCTTCCCATATGTGGACACTTGAACATGAGTCCTCGTCAAGTGTCCTATATGCACACACATATGCAGACGCACCTTTACATCATTTAAATGGCGTGCGCATTCCTGTTTGCGAGTAATGACCTGAGATATTTTGCAAACCTTACGTCCGGGTGCCAAGGAGTTAGTAAATCGCGGTATTAGCATGGCTGGGAGATCGGGGCCCAGACTGACATGCCTGTTTTTGGATACTGGGACAGTGATATTTGGGGTAACCGTGTGCGTTGGTGTTTGGGGATATAAATATACGCCACCCCGGAGGCCTCCGGTGTTCGCGCGGGCCTGCATGCCGACCAAGGCAGACAGATCACTTTGAGGGAGCCACAATCAAACAAATGTGCTGAAGGATAGATATGAACTTGTGCGTGCGTGTGTGTGTGTGTGTGTGTGTGTGTGTGTGTGTGTGTGTGTGTGTGTGTGTGTGTGCGCGCGCAAAAAAAAATAAATCCTGAGAGACTTTTTATCACTATTTATTGTGTCGTGTACTCACGTGGTAGGGTGCTCATATTTCTCCTCCCACAGCAGGAGACATAAATAAACAGCTACAGAAAATGATGAGATGATTGCCGCGGGTTTGGTGTCTAACCTTGACCGTTTATGGCATTTCTCGGCGGTTTGCTGGTCGCTTATTATGCCGAAATGTCACTCAAAAAGTAATAGTTAAAAACAAAGTAAAACTTGTTTGGGGTTATTAGAGTGCCAAAATATATAACCTCATAATTCCAAATAGTCTGTATTTTGTTTTAATTATACGTGAGCTTTTTTCCCTGAGCCCGCAACCGCCAGCATCAACGTGTCAGACTCTTTCATTTGAGCCGTTTTTTGATAAAATCTTAATTTTCAGATATAGCCTCCTGATAAAAACAACAAAACCAAACGACTCTTTCATCCTTTCCATTTCATTATAATTAAGCAAACAGTACTTAGTGAGCAGATGCCTCCCCCGGACAATTCAATTTGACAATTTAGAAATGACTCTAATGATCGGAGGAAAACCAGGACTGGCGAGCAAAGTGGGGAGAGCTGCAGCAGCATCTTCATTTCCTGCTAGAGCTGCTGGATTTGTTCGTCCGGTCTTCATGCATGTGGGCTCACCGCGCAGTTTCATGGCTCCGTGAGCAACCATGCAAATTTTTTGTCACACTTTTTTTCTTCATCTCTTTTTTTGTGCTGTTATTGTTTGTGAGCAGTTGCTTTTGAGTGACTGCAAATTTCTTTTTGGGCAGCAGGACGCAGAACAGTTTAGCTGTAATCCTCATATTTATGTTGGATTCAGCATTTAGTCCCGCAAGATTTATGTAATGCATCTAATCAAAGCTAATTTCAAACCACCGGGCTGTAACACAAAATTGTGCGCAGCGGCTGCCAGGCTCTGTCTTTTCTTTTTTCTTTCTTTCCTTTGGTGCGCTGAAACTTTGTTAAGCCCATAATCTGCCGGAGTTGATACTCTGAATGAACACTTGGACTTCTCCGTGCAGTTGATTCCGAATCTCGTGTGAAAACAACAAGACGGAGCTTCAGTTAAAAAAAAAATACAAATAAATGTTTGAATAAAGTCCTTTTTCTCCACAGCACACGCGCGCAGAATGTGGACAATTAAAATATTGGTTTTTTGGTTGTTTGATGTTGAATTAATCTGAGACATATACGCATAAATCTGCGCGCAGATGGTGAGTGCTTCTCGGATTGTTTCACTCCACTAGTGCATGCTTTGTCACATAATAACGAGACAAAAACGAAAAAAATGTTTGTATATGATCCTCATTAGAACATTTAATCAGAATCTGTTTGGGCTTTTTGCAGATGGATGCGGGGATATTTCGTGGCGTGCAGTTTCTCTTGCTCTTCTCTTTGCTCACAGACGGAAAACTATATGGATCAAACTAACTTCCTCCCTGGAGCTGGTGTTTGATTGCCATGAACATATTAACTGTCAGCTCTAAACACTAAACACAAAAAAGATTTAACACGCACACATCACGCACGCACAGAGAGAGAGGGAGAGCGCGCGCAAAGCTTCAGGCTAAGTGGCTGGGGCGGGACAGTGCGCGGAGCGAGGCGGGGACAGAAGGCAGGCGGGCGGGCAACGTGGTGGTCGGGTTGGTGGACAGATGATTGTCCGCGTTATTAACTATGTTTGAGGCGTGCAGACCACGCCTCCTTCACCTACTAGTCCTCCCCTTTGCGTGCAGACCACGCCTCTTTCACCTACTAGTCCTCTCTCCTGTTTGGCATCCCAGAGATGGTCCAAAGTGATTCCTCAGGGAAGGAAAAAGAGCGCAAATCACCCGAGCGGGAGATGAGGAGGAGTTGAGCCGCTGCTGCCCGGGACTGCCGCTTAATTGCGCGTAATCTTCCGTTTCATTCATCTGAGCTGAGAGAGAGAGGAGGGGAAGACTTTGTAAATAAGGAAACGGAGCTAAGGAAAGCGAAACGCGTTTTCATCTCCTCGTTTTTCGTTTTCTCTTTGGACTGTTTGTTTGCAAAGAAAAAAAAGAAAAGAGAGAGAAAGAGGGGGAAACTGACATTTTTGCTCGCGTTTATGTCAGCTGCACCTTGATCCCGGGGACTGTCGCCAACTCAGTGCAGCCTCTCATCCTGCGCTTCCCCCCTCTTTCATCGTTTCTCACGCTGTTCATCTTCACACAGCTGCTGCTTCCCCACTCCGTTTTCCTTCTGGAGTCGCTGACACGAGGTGCAGCTAACCTCGGATGCTGACAGCTCCCGGCCTCCCTTTATTCTTTCTTTCTTTCTTTTTTTCCCTTCCACATGTCGCATCTTTTGTTTACTTTGAGAAACACGCCGCAACTAAACGCCGAGTGAAACAGACCACGCTACTTTGCTCGTTCTGACAGCGCGATCAAACAGACAAGCAAGAGGAGGGGAGGCAGGAGGGGAAAAGAAGAAGAAGAAGAGAGAGAGTGAAAGGAGGGAGCCGAGGAGAGGAGGAGAGAGAGAGGGGGGAGAGAGTGAGTGAGAGATAGAGACAGTGTGAAGGTGCGTTTTGATGTTTGGCATCCACGAGAGCATCCAGAGGAGTGGGAGTAGTATGAAAGAAGAGCCCATGGTGGCCGGGATGAACGCGGTTCGGACATGGATGCAGGGCGCCGGGGTGCTGGACGCCAACACAGCCGCCCAGAGGTGAGCCCGAGGCGGCCTTGGCGGTGCGCTGACTGCGGGGCGTGGAGACCGGGGATATGGGGGGGAGAAAAGCCGCTCAGATCTGCGGTGTTAAAGACGGGAGAGCGGCTGCATCACTTGGGGCAGCACGAGTCCCCAGAGGACGCAGTTGTGGGATAATCACCGCTCCCCCTCCAGGCATTTCAAGCCCTTTTCCCCTCATTTTTCTCTTTCTTTTTTCTTTTTTTAGCTCAAAGTCCGACTTACTAAAATATTGTATGTGCCTCGAAGTTTTTTATTTAACGGATTTCAGGAAGAAGGGGCTGTAACAGTGACTAAAACTCCAGGGCGAGCGGGGTTTAAATGTTCCCTCAGCATAACTTTAGTTTGAAAAAGTGAGCGCTGAGTTTTGCTTAGACTTTTCAGCTCACTTTGTTGTTTACTCCTCCTTTATTATTCATATTATTAGTAGTAGTTGTGATTTTGTTGTGATAAAACCGAGTAGCTTATGTGCATATAGAATTATATTTTTCAGGTCTACAATTTCGCAGTTTTCCCACAAAATAAAAGAAAGTGAATTTGATTTCATTAAAGCTGCAGTAGAAAGTAATGACGCTAACATGGACGACAGGCCTACCATCGAGAGAGCAACTGATGTGTCCAAATTATGACGTTAATATTAAATAGTACGTCGAAGCAATTTAACTTTACGCTTTAACATTTAGCCATATTTCTGTAATTATTGTTGATGAAACTGCAGCTTTTTTATTCAACTGAACAGAGACGAATTTTGCCACCGATGAGGTTGAATCTGAGGGCAGGTTTCTGTCGTGCTGTGATTCTATTTTCTTCATTTTATTCTTTTTTTTTTTATGTATATATATTTTTTTCAATGCCCGTCGTTTTGGATGCTAGTTGGTCTGTGCTTGTGTCCGCAGCGGAGTGGGTCTCGCTCGGGCACACTTCGAGAAACAGCCGCCCTCCAACCTCCGCAAGTCCAACTTCTTCCACTTCGTCCTGGCTTTGTACGACAGACAGGGTCAGCCTGTGGAAATAGAGAGAACCACTTTCGTCGACTTTGTAGAGAAGGAAAAGGTGAGTTTGCAAATTAAATATACAAACCACACCACACACACACTAGATATGTTGTGTGGTATATATTATATAATATAATAATATTATATATATTAGTTATAGTATATATCATATATATTATAATATATATATATAATATATATTATATATATATATAGGTATGTGTATATTATAGTGATATATAACAAGCCTTATTCTTTATTTTCATCGTCTCACCGCCTGGAATAAAATATTCAAAGGAAAGAGTACAATGTTTAAATTGCAGCGAAGCATCGACTGACGCCTGACAATATAGTCAAAGTGATAAATTACCAAACTCACACAGCAGGGATTATTACTCCCGAAGGCTTTCCTGATGTGATTTTTAGACGTGGGTTCCTAAAAAAATATAATACTTTCAGACTTCTGATTATATTTGTCATTACTCTGACTTTCTGCATAGCTGCAAAATAATGAATATTACACATATTTACAGCAACTTTTGCGCTCATCTACCGAGAACCATATTGACTTTTATATTCTGTGACAGCTCAGCACAGCATGCAGCCCATTCCTGCAGGTGCTCTCCTGACAAGCTTCTTCATTTTCACATGTTTTTTTTTAATTTTCTTTAAAAAGGGAACTTTCAATATTAGTCTTTGAAGTCACATCGATATAGGAAAATGTTTTACTTATTAATAAGTGCTGCATTTATTAGCATTTAACAACGACTTCTTTATAATTAATTATAGTCAAATGTTTTTGTGCTGCCCAATAAGAAGACGTTACACATTGCGCGTTGTCGTGTTGGGGGGGAGATAATAAATGTGTTGGAAGTTGTATCGTTTTAAAAAATAGGAAATAAAATAAAATGAAGCTGTGGGAGAACGGTAGAATAGTTTAGGTTACAAAGCTTAAAAACAAATTTAAAAAACAGTGTTTTTAAAAAAACAAAAAACAAAAAAACAATTAATTATTAAGAAGTTGGGTTTCTTATTCTTTGTCAAATAGCCTCATTAAAAGTTACGGATTCCTTTTTTATTTTTCTAACTCTTCTCTGCAAACTCGATACGAAGAGGTGAGAGAGAAATGAAAACTTAATTTCGCTGTAGATATGAAGTTATGATATTTCGCTGATGTAAAATATATATACATATATATATATATATATCAAGTTGTAGACATGCAGTCGAAGTACCAGGACGAGGTGGCTCGCTTGTCTGCTTGCTTTTACCGGGTCTGGTTTAATTTTCATAGGAAATGACGGGGGAAAAGACCAACAATGGGATCCATTATAGACTTCAGCTCCTCTACAGTAACGGTGAGTTTGGTTTCCATAATTTTTATGGAGCAATAACAGAAGCAGCGTGTCAATGAAACGTCAAACGCAAGTGAGAAAACTCTGGAAATAAATGGTTTAGGTGGTCACTTGGTTGAGCTTCGGTTTAGAGGTTTTATAGTTTTCTTCTATGGATTTATTAGCTTTCAGCCAACATGAAAGATGATAACTTCAGATATTTTTAAATTATTGCATTATTACTCATAAATGAAAAAACAAAAGCATGTTTTTTAATTATTATTTGTATTATTTATGTATTTATTTATTGCTGTTTCTGTTGCTTCTACCAATAAACGCAGTGTATTTCTCTTTAGGAGTAAAAAACTCCAAGCTGCAAAATAAAACGTCTTCCTTTTAAACTTTTTTTTAAAAGTCTTCCTTCCTTCGTTGAACAATTAAGTTGTATTGATTATATTTTAGTAGACTCCTGCTGTGCTTATTTTCAGTCTTAAGTTGATACTAAATATTTATGCAGATAAAATCAACACAGTAAAGACAGCAAATTGAATTTTCAAGTTCCAACCAAACTGACAGCGTGCAACAAATACTGAAAGTCATTATTAACAGTTTAGACTCATCGTTTCCATGAAGTGGCTCGCAGGGGAAACCAGAAAGAATACATTCTGTGCTCAGAGAGATTCCCCAGCCCGTAAACGCTTTGACTTTTTAACATGTGTGTGTGCAGGGATCAGGACGGAGCAGGACTTGTATGTTCGTCTCATTGACTCTATGACTAAACAGGTAAGACGTGCTTCCTTATACTAAAAAACAACAAAAAAGAGAGATTAGTAGCGTACCACTGTGGTGAATAAATTCCCATTTTTATTTTGTCTTACTGGTTCTACAACTAACTGGGATGTGCTCAAAGCACTAGGAGGGATTTGGTTTTGTCAGTGGGAAATGGGAAGTGAAAAGAATTGCAGACATATTCAAAACCTGCATGGATGTACAGGAGCGAGTCACTGCTGCAATTTCCCAGTCTCAGTGGGCTCAGATCAGGAATGCAATGATTCAGCTGTTTTGACAGTCAAATGTAAATCTGAGCCAATTTTCTCAAACACCATGATTTTGAGCTCATTTTGCATCATGGGTCACATACAGCCCACTTTGATCTGAATAGGGCCGAACTTACTAAGGTTGAAGAAGGTTAACTGCACATTTAATTCCATTTAATATAAGAATAAAAAGAAGTGCAAATTCAGCGGCACGTCTCGGTTTTTCTCCGTGATAAAGAAATGCTGCTGAAGTAAATGAACGACATCTATGTCAGCATGTGTAAAATTACTGAAAAACCGCAATGATGCTGATGGTGAAATGCTGATATTAAGTCAAGAGGTTAATGTTTACCTCTTGACTTAATTAATTAATTAATTAATTTAGTGTAGTATGAATTACAATGGCGAAGTCCCGTATTGGTAAAATTGTAAAGCTTGTGAAAATACAGTTTAAAGTCCAAAATCTATGCAACTATTCACAGTTTCATCCAGATTGTCGGATTAGAGTCTTTTCCAGGCCAATTCTGGCTCTGGGACCTTATGTTTGGCACCACTTATTTAGACACACCAGCTCTCTTTCTTTTCTTGGTCAAGTCTAATCTCACTTCATGTTTGACAGTGCTGCATTGTGCGACTCACTCAGTTGAGGTCAACACAATTGCTATCATCCTCCTCTGAAGGCTAAAAATCTCCTCTTTCATACTCTGATTAGGAATGGTGAAAAGACCTTTCGCACCTGCATGTATCACTGAGCATGCCTTTAATTTTTATTGAACATGGAGGCACTTCATTTCTCGAGGTCTGAGTTTGAGTGCATTAATGGTACGTTTGTACAGACAAAAGCATCTGCCGAATGAATCTTATGTCATGTTTCTCTTCTCTCCACATGTTTTGCGATCGCCCCTCAACATCTATCCAACCACTTTACCACTCAACGTGTAACTCCACAGGTAAGTGGTTTTTTGGTTTTTTTTTGCCATTTTTTAATGATGTTTTGTAATACTAGAAATTCCCCTGACACACACATAGTCACTGATGAACCAGAATATAGGCCTGATTTCTTAAAACAAACCTCAGAAATGTGTGAAGCTCTGTACATTATGAATGCACTCGGATTCAAATAATGGTGTTGTGTGTTTAGAGTGGGTAAAACACAACAGTCGAAAAGCCCTCAAACTGTCTCCTCCTCCCTGACGTGGGAACAGAAAGTGAAATAATGCCTCTGAGATCATTAACCTCAGTGTTTTGTCAATGCTATACCATGCAGAGCCCGCAGGCGCCGTTCTGTTTTCCCCTCTGCATAATTCACACACACGCATGAATCCATAGTCGTGCGCGCTCACAAGCAGCGCTTTTGGTAACCGTCCACACAAACTCCACTTCTTCTGCCCAGCCGTGAAATGTTTTCTCTCACTGTAGTGCTCTGACCTGCTCTCACACCCTGCTGACCCGTATCACTTCTTTTCCCACTGGTCGTCTTTCTGTCCTGCCAACAGCCTGTAGCTACAGCTGGCTTGTCAGCCACTTAGAGCTGATGATTTAAAAGCATTTGTATTGTTTTAACATGGGGGGGGAAAAGTTTTTTGTAAAGAACTGGAACTGCCCTTTCTGGGACACAGAAGGTTACAAAGGTGCCACAGGGGATTTCACCCAGTTCGTGGTTGTTGAAGTTGTGTACTTAGGTAGTCTTGTCAGTTGACTTTTTACAGGTATAATCAACATGGCTTTTGAAGCAACTATTAAAATATTGACTATTATCCAGAAAAAAAGGATATTTGGAGATCATGGACTATGTTATATAGCTTGTTGTCTCTCGTTAAAGTCTTTAAAGGTACAGTGTGGAAATTCTCACCACTAGGTGTCAGTAGATTGCAGATTACAGTCAATTCTGTCTGTTCGTAAACCTAGCTACGGTGGCTGCTGTAGGACAAACACAAAAAAAAAGGAAGACAAACTTTTTACTTTTTTCAAACTCTTATTTGCCAAAATTACATCCAGTTGTACTTTTCGAATTTACTTACTTTATATTTATGCAGGTGCAGGCACAAATTTAAATTTAAATTTGTTCTCTTCTTCTCCGCCTTTGATGTACTATGTGGTAAGGTTGGGCGATATGTAAAAATTTTCCAACCGACAACCCTCAGTCCAATACGTGATGATAGGTGATATATTCATGCAGGCACAGACTTTTCGATGGGCAGAGCAAGTAATCATGACAGACTGATTTGCTCATTAAATTTATAAGTTTTGTTTGGAGGGAATATTTTACCTTCTTTTCTTGTTTTTTCAGTATTAATATAGCTACTTTTTGGATTATTATTATTTATTTATTTGAGATGCACCAAATTGCACAAAAAAGACTTAATTACATGTAGGATATTTTTTTTTTGTTCGCTGGAAGAGACATTTTGATTTTTAACTTTTTTGTTTAATTTTGTATTTGTTGTTTGGTCGAGTGTGTAAGACAGATAAACACTGGAACGCCTGTAAACACAGTTATAGTGGAAAAAAGAAGCCATTTTATCTTTGTTTCCCTCCCCACCATTGTGTTTTTTTATTTAAAATTAATTTTTTTTCCTGAACATTGGCTACTGCCTTTCTTTCTTTCTGTTATGAGTTTGAGGAAATGAATCGCTGCATTTGGGCGCACTCTGAGAGGATGCTTTTAAAACAGAGCTATTATTTTTTTTCGTTGACTGCTTCTCTTAGCTTCAACCAACATTATTAGCAAACTTACTCTTGAGCGAATAAATAAATCGCCCTTGTAAAAACAATTGGTGAAAGACTTCGTACAATCGTCAAACCAAGGAATTTGGCTGTTCTCTAGCCACATACATAAATTGCAATTACGGTACGCAACACACCAATGTCCATGTTGGCCACTTTATTCGAAATGGGGCGGGAACATGGCGCCTTTTACGACCTGACGCATTTTTAATACAGTAAAACTAAGTTTATGAGAATGCATCACTTTTAATACTCTAATAATTCATTAGTAGTAAAATATTCTTTTTTTCCATTAAGTAACATCAAACGACTGATTGCACCTTTAAATTGTGGAAACATTAAAAGATGGCCTTTAGAACAAAGAGTGGCTGCTGTTTAAAAACCTCTGTGTTGACATCTTGATAGGACTAAATTAGTGTTCAGTCAATGGAACATGAATTGCATGCCATTTCAAGTTTCTAATGATCCATTACAGTTTGCTTTAGCTCAGTTTAAAGTATCGCTCCCTTTCTTTGCCTTTGGCTCGGTTAATCACTTGGTAAACATGCATGGAAATGGCTAAAGTTTATTGCCTGTTATAAAGGTACATTATGTTAGAGATTCTTTTGAAGATATCTGACTGTGTCCAGATGTAGATAACATTTATGCGTTGGACTGTATGGTGTCTCCCGAGCTTGCTTCTCCTGAAATGAGGTTACGTGTACAGGTAGGTGCATGTGTTATGAAGAGCTGTAGGCGACACTGGAGCTAGTGTGTCTCTAAAGGTTATTAACTCTGCTATTCTCAACTCATTATCTGAGCCTTTGGGCAAAAAAATAGATGAACTATCTGTTCTCTACAACCCTCCTATCTTCTCTTGCAGGAGTATAAAATATTTGACTCTGCAGTGGAGAGAATCTCTTTGTGCTGTTAGTATGTCTCACATCACAATTTTTCAATCAGTGAATCTTAAAGCCCTGAAAACTACATTTAAATCTTTAAAGCGTTGTGAAAGATTTATCTATACGATGCATATCATGTTTTTGGGGCTTTTTTAAATTAAATCTTTTGATAAGATTGGATAGATTTTGTTTTCAAATATTCCTGGATTCTGATTAATACATATAAAGAGGGAGGGGATATTTTTTTAATATAGTTTTGCAAAGCTGTTGTAGTTTTGCCACTATAATCTTGCCTGAGCTGTTCCTCCGAGGGTCATATCGTTTAGACCCCCCCCCCCAACAACTTTCTAATTTCAGATCGCAGTGTCGGACCATTTTTGTGAAAAAGCATTACCAATCCAACACCTGCTTAACAGCATGTTTAGCCAGCTGTGCAGGGTGAGAGGGTAAGCCGGGTGTTACTGAAAGTAAGTGTGCGGTTATCCCCTCGCTTGACCACATTATGACTCCCTCCTTACGGATGGATGGATTTTTACGCCACCTTACAGTTCGGTCATTTAGAGTGTCTTTAAATATGTTGGATTTCTGATGTTTTGAGGCAGCTCAGCTCATCTTATAAAATGTAACCCTCTCTTAGTGCTTAGAAAAAGCTAAAGATCGGTCAGGATTACTACATTCAACGCATGATTGTTATTCCCATCTGCGGTACTTGAGAGTGTATATTTGGGAGTGTGGCTCTGTTATGGCACCTGATTGTCTGTTTGTCTGAGGAAAGGTGGAGGCAGGGAGAGGAGCACCATGCCCCTAGCATAGAACAGAACAGGCACCAGTAAGGACATATGCTCACCACCCACTTAATTAATTAATTGAGAATACAATTATCTAATCCATCCAAACATATTCAGCTTGGCTACGGCTTCCCCAAAGACTCCTCAATCTCCATTAACAATAAACCAAAATAATTAAATGATACATTGCCTTACTTCATAGAATTTAAGCCTAAAGAATCATGCTGACAGATGTCTTTAATTTACTACACCAGGATATCTTTTATAACTTCTTTACACTGACAGAAAGGGGAGTTTCACCGGTCTGTTCAACATAAAATCTTGGTGGGCTATATGTGGGCTGCGATGCAGAATGAGTTTGACATCTGTGATCTAATCTGTCAGTCACATGACAATAACTCAGGACATTCATTGAGAAATGTTTCCAGCACTTTGTTGAATCTGTGCCACAAAGAATTAAGGTAGCTTATTAGCAAGGTGTGAGTAATGAAGTGGCTGTTGAGTGGACGTGACATTGATTAATGGGTGAAAGGTGCTACTGCGATGGTCTTTACGCCCAGCCTACAGACAGCTATGCAGACCCTCGTCTGCATGTTGTAGCGGTGTCACTAAAGCGTCACAAACGACCGGTCTGTGGTTGAAAAACCCTCTTGGTAACCTCTACACAAAAGGACACAATTGCAGTACCATATATAGAGCATGAAAATGAGTAGGCATGGACAAGTGTTTCAAAGCGGCTTGGGAATGTCCAGCCACTTTAGGTTGGTTTCTGTAGCTTAAATAAACAGCTGTATAAAGGGGAATCAGCTGAGCCGTCAGCTGATGTGGGCTAGCACTGACATCAGCTGAGATTGGCCAGGATCGCGGCTGACTTTTTTTTGTCTTGACCAACACTACACTTCATTAGTCAGAAAAGTGTAAAGCAAATGAGGGTGACTGTTGTCTAGACAAGTGGGAGGTAGAGAGATCAGCCACAATAATGGAGTATAGCATCAGTGGATAACTCGGCTGAAGAAAGGCCACCTTATGGTCTGCTGACTTTACGGCTCTGTTTTATTGAGGCTGTGGAGGCTACTGGATGCTGTAAGGAGTTTGTAAAAACATCAGCTGTCTGACTCCTTCTGTCGTGTTAAAAAAGATCCTTTGGAGTCTCCCCACACTTTCCAGAAAACTATAAACACTACTTTATTCCAATCTAGTTCTTTTCCTGCTTTTTATTTTATTTTATTGTCAGCTTTGAAGAATTTGTGTGTTTGTATGTGTTGCCAGTGGACACATTCACTTCGCTCTGCCTCCTACAGAAAACCAGCAGTTCATCTTCTGCTCTCCAAGTTGTTTTTGGCTGCAGCAGTGTGTCACTTGTAGCCAGAAACTAATGCTGAAGACTTTTCCCTGGCTTTCAGAGCGCCACAACTCTTACCTTAAGATTCAGTATTTTAGGAATTTGACCCATATCAAATACTTACAGTTGGGATTTCTTAGCTTTGATTTTTTTCTTTTTCTGTTTTTTGCCATTTTTTTAAAGACAGATTTTTTTCTTATGGGTTATTCAACTTAACTGTGTAGTAAACATACGGCCCGAGGGCCAGAATCGGACCATCAAAGGTCCATGTGCGAAATGATGGGACATGCCTGCTATATAATTCATTTATAGTTTATTAATGGGTAATTGCAACAATTTTCTGTCTTTTGAGTAAAACAAAGCAAACACACAAGTTGACCAGAAAGATCCGAATATGTCAAAATAACATAATGTGATTTTCAGCAGTTTTTTTTAAGTTTTGGACATGGTTAGCTTTGTTTTAGCCTTTTTTCAAAATCATTACATTTGTTGACTATCCTTTAAGTTGTAAGATGAATGATACTGTAAAGCAAAACACACACAGAAATAAAAAATATCACAGAGCCCAGCTGCACTGGAGTTTTTCTTCCCAGGAATATAAGCCGGTTTGAAAATATTTTGGAGCCCTGCAGGAAGAGAACGATCAGGTGAAACCTGAGATGCAGTGGAAAAATACAAACAGTACCTGTCCTGAACGGGGCTGTAATTCCAGTTTTTAATCTTCTTTTATTTATCTTATTTTCTGGAAACACAACCTTCTCAGAGCCTGTGGCAGCACTTACAAGTACATGTGCGCTATCACAGTCGGCGTGAAGTGTTAGCCAAGCGTATGCAAACAAATAAACAGAGAAGACACCGGCAAACACATACCCAGACTTATGGACGTCTGGATGCAGATGCATATTTTCACCGGTAAGACGTGCTCACAGCTGCACACAGACGCACACACATAGAGGGAAAGTCCCTGCTGCAGCGGTGTGCTACGGGTGGGTGGCCGCGACCAGCAGTGGCCTTTGGCTTTGAGTCCAAGGTGGGCTGAGAGTTTGTGTTCCACCCAACCCCCTTGGTGGAGAAACACAAAGAGCCACTGTGTTTAAGAAAAGAGTGAAGGTATGATAAGGTGGAGAGAGGTCTAGAGAAATAGGGTGGTGGGGGTGCTGGAAAAATGTTGAGTGATTTCTGGAATGCTTCAGAGAGATTTGAGATGGACAAACAAAGAAAAGCAAGCTGAGGAGGGAAGATGAGCCTGAGACAGAGGAAGATGACACAAAAGGGATGAGGAGAGCCAGAGAAAGACAGATGGAGAAGGAAGGAAGGAAGGAGGGAGAAGTAGAGGGTAGCCAGATGGGACTCCGCTCTGAAACTTGTGACAGCCCGTGGGAGGAATATCTTTGCGAAACTCTTTTTCTGATTGGTGTGTTTGTTTTTGACAGCCGTACTGTGTTGGATGGTTAATCATAGCACAGCAAAAATGAACTCTCTCTTTGTTTATATTACTCTGTGTGGGTGTATTCAACTCGGACGCTCTATTTTTGAATCGATCTATTGTGTGACTGCGTGTGTGTCCTCCCCATTTCCTCCATGGCTTGTCTCTAAATTGCCTTGAGACGGCGGCGTGTAACGGCTGGAAGGCAGAGCAGCAAGCAGTTCTGGCCGGCAACTGCTGATCTGGATTCTGCTCTTAAATCCATGTCTAACAGGATGGCTTGCTTAGGGAGCTGTACTTGGATCAGGAGTAAGGAAAGTAAAGCCAGCGCGAAAAGAGGTTGCAGACTAGAATCTGTGCAAATGTGTGCGTGTGTGTTGTTGCTAAATTAAAGCTGGTCCCAGTCCAGCGTTTAGAGGAGGTTTGCGTCGGGTTGCTGTATTGCTACGAGCCTGGATAAGAGGGATGAGTAGATAACGAATTTTGCCCTCTGTGTGTGTGTTGTGTGTGTGTGTGTGTGTGTGTGTCTGTA